AAGTCATGCAAAAGAACTTTATTACAGGTGAAAGTGAGGCGAAAATAAAGTAAAGGAAAAGTGAGTTGTCAACAAAGAGCACTTTCAAGGGAGAGAGTGGGCCATCTCCAAACAGAGAATGACAAAGAAGACAATGTTGTCTCCAATTTTATTACTGTTTGATGTTTACCAGAACTGGGGACCACCTTCTGTACTCTTTACCAATCAAGTGTTTAACTCCTCCTTCATGTCAGGCAGTGGAGTTTTTGACCCTAGTTGGTCCTCTGAGGAGATGTCATGGTGGCTATCCTGCTTAGGGGAGCTTCAGCTACAWGTCAATCCCTTGTTAATGTGGACATTGGGGTCAATTCCTGGTCAGAAGTTACCTTGGTTTACCTGGGCTCCTGAAGGAATCTTCCTTCCCAGACAGTTGGAGACACTCATAGCCATAATTCCTAGCTTTACATTAACATCAATAAAGTTAGTTCCATTAATCCTGTTCTCTTGATGTGATTTCCAACTAGCTGCCTTGCTTCTGTTTATTTTCAACAAATTAATTATCACCCTTTGCTTTCTCCTCTATGTTGGAAGTAATTTAAGGAAGAGCCCTAAAATAACTTAAAGAACACTTGTGACCTTGCYTGCATTTCACTGATCATTGTTACCTATTACCTAACAACCAAATATTGTAGTCTCTGTAACTATAAAGAAGGAATTAGTTAATATCTTAAYAATTTAGGCGGGCTTCTCTTTAGAATTTAGAATGTTGGGCAATAGGGAGGGGGCATAATATTGGAAGAGGATGAGGTAGGGCAACAATCTTGTGGAAGGGCAAAGGGAAGGCAAACAACAGAAATTTTGTCAAGTAGGACCCCAGAGGCACTGCCTTGTTACATTATTATCTAGCTATTGTCACAATTAAATACTAGATTGTAATTACAACCAATGTCACCAAGGAGTTATACAGGCCCCTATGAATTCATATGTCAGAAGGCCTGATTTTGGGCTGGGGTTGTGGCTCAGTGGGAGAGTGCTTGCCTTGCATGTGTGAGGCACTAGGTTTGATTCTCAGCACCACAAATAAATAAATGATTAAAATAAAGGTCCATCAAAAACTAAAAATTAAAAAAAAAGAAGGCCTGATTGTTTCTGTTCAAAGAATCTGGAAGCAAAGTTAGAATTATATAGCTGAAAACAACTTCTCCATCTCAGAGACACAAAGAAAACTGTCAAAATTTATAGACATATTTTACAGCATATTTGTTGACATTTCCTATACTCCAACATAATAATTTTCTTCTGATACCAGAGCAGAGTCAACACCCTTTGAAAAAGTGGCAGTATATTGTTTCAACTGCATATCTTCCTGCTGTTTTCATCCCTGGGTTTTGCTTTTTGGATTTATTTTATTTTATTTTATCTTTGGACATTTAAAAAACTTTATTCATAGGGCATCCAATATTCGATAGTTCCTTTTACTGTGATTTTTCAAATATATTACTCATCCCATCAGTCCCTGAAGCATACTATTTAATCCTAATTCTTATATAACTCCAGCAAGGGAAAATTAGAATATTTTCAAAATAATTGCATAATATTCATTCATTCTTGTGTGTGTGTGTGTGTGTGTGTGTGTGTGTGTGTGTGGTGTGGTGTGGTGCTGGGGATTGACTCAGACCCTTGGGTGTGCAAAGGAAGCACTCTAGAAACTGAGCTGTACTGTTAACCTCTCCCTACCCATTCATTCTTAATAAGCCCTTAAGAACCTAGATGTCAAATCTGTACTAGGATATTATTCTTCCATATGGCTTAAACTGTTCTGTTTAATTTTTTTATCATTTTAACATATAGATATGTCTTTAAAAGTCCACTCCAATGTAATTATAGGTGAATGACTCCATGTTGAAAGTGAAAGCAGTTTAGGTAATATATTTCCTTTAGAAATGTGTGAGGACTGTTATGGCAACAATATACTCACTTTTCTTAACTTTCTTAGTGGTTTATAATTTCCTTCTTGAAATTTGCAACCATTTTGGTATATTTATTTTTTATTTTTATTTTTTAATATTTKTTGCTTACCAATGTACCTTTATTTTGCTTATTTATATGCAGTGCTGAGAATCAAACCCAGTATCTCATAGATGCTAGGAAAGTACTCTACTACTGAGCAATAACTCTAGCCCCTTTTGCTATATTTCTTGAACAAATGTTTTTTTTCAATAATATGTGTTGGTATACAAACAAATTGCATAATATTTGCTGTGCTTCAAGGTTTTTTTTTTTYYTTTTTTTYYTTTTTTTYTAGTAAGGGAGATGTGACCCTCAGCATGAATTGAATATATCCTATCCTAGCACAAGCCAGCTCCTTCCACTATTTTCTTACCTTTGGAAATTGCAAATCAATTTTCCTATTTTTTCAGTCCAAAAACATTGGAGTAATCTCCCATTTTTTTTCTCTTATTATCTACATCTTATGTATCAGTAAATCAGTAGATGTTGTCTCTCTCTCTCTCTTTTTGTGTGTGTGTGTGTTTGTGTGTGCCAGGGAACTACACCATTGAGCTCCCCAAAAGATTTTCCTAATTAAAAAACAAACAAACAAAAAAAAAACTTTTTAATTTTGAGACAGGGTCTCATGAAGTTGCTGAGCCTGGCTTATGAACTTGTGATCCTCCTGCCTTCACTTCTTTAGGTTTTGGGATTACAGACATGCACCATTGCACCTGGCAGTAGATGTTAAGTGATGATCCTCAAGATACAGCTTTAATTCTTCTTCCTCTCATAGCCTTTTTTGTATTCATCTTCGACCRTGTCATTTTTGTCTTTCAGCCGATGCATATAATAATCTCCTATTTGTCCCCCCTTCTTCCAGATATATCCTATTATGTTTCATTAGYTAAAGATAAGCCAGGATGTTCACTTTCTTCTCTATTTCTTATCATGGGATATTTAGATGACAGCAAGTGCATGGTAGCAGGAATGAGATCATGAGAAGAATTTACTAAGATAAAGAAAGCAATTAAAAGGGTTAAATTGAGGAAAATACTCTGTGCCCTCACAGTGGGAGCAGTAACAATGACATCTGCCTGCTGACTCAGAGGGCATCTAGCCTTATAAGCACTTAAGTTCTTTGTTTGCCTTTGATGGACTTTTTGTTAGGGGTGTTTTATGCTAAGCAAGGGTGATTGACAGAGTCTTGGATCTCACCCATAATGCTTATTGTGTGTATGTGTTAATGCTTGTTCCTAGGTCTTACATTAGATGCATGAGATACAATTAATATATATGATATCTTAAGTAGGGTATTCTTCCTTTTAGGTTACTATAGGTCAACCTTGGTGGTCTCTGCACTTGTTCCTTAGGATGGTTAGGCAATCTTTTTGAAAAACAGAATCTCATTGTTTACACTCGGGGGAAGTTAGTCTCTCTGATAACAGCAAAGCGGCAGGATAAAAGGAAGGTTCACAAGCTCACATCAGCTCTGCTAAATGAGGTAGTATTGAACCTGGGACAATCTATTCTGCTTCATTTATTTTCTTGAGCAATTTATAAGCAACAGAAAAGTTGCAAGAATAGAAGAATGAGCATCACCTGTATTCACTCATTAATATTTTATCATATTGATTGTATCATTCTCTCTCTCCATATGATAATTAATGAATAAAACGAACACATACACACACATATATATGTAATCCTAGTTGTATTATCACAGAATGAGGTCCGAGAGGGTCCCCCAATGGAAAAGAGGAACTCAGCTCAGCCCTTGCAGGTTCTCAACCTGCACCACAAAAATGAATTTCAGGATGCATCAAAAGAGGCACAAGAAGATATTTATTCGGGAAAGCAAAGAATAGTGCAGGGTACACTCTAATGAAATAGGAGTATGAGTGCTTGGAGATATATTTTGAGGATCTCAGACTTTTTTCTTTTRAAAGAAAGATTTTAAATAATGAACATGACAAATTTAATGGGGCGGTGTTAGCCTAGTTAGCTCCATTTCTTTGATCATAGAATCCATACCAGGCCATGGTTRACTTCTTAAAATCTTCAGGTTGATGCTTTCTATTGAATATACAGCTCTTGGACTATACCCATGTCATGGATTTTTAACAATATCTCTCTTTCRTCTTCTTTAATCAGCCTAAAAATGCATTTTGTGAACTAACAAAGCATGTAGGCACTAATTAACTGGATTCATAGTATTCTAAAATTCATTAGATCTTTCAAGAAATCAGGTCTGGAGGTAAACAGGTCTGGGGGTGAAGGGGAGTGTGTTTAGGGAGGTTTTAGGTAAACCTAAAAGGTTACAGTCCCTCTATCCTTCCAACATACTTTTATTTCTTCTGTCATTCCTCAGTATTGTTTGAAAGATGGTTATACATCATGACACTTTGTCCTTAAATACTTCAGCATATATTTTCTAAGAATGAAGACATTCTTATACAACCACAAAACAACCATAGTATTCAGGAGGTTTAACATTGGTACAATTTTATYACAGAATATATAATCCATATTTAAATGTGATCAGTTTAACAATAGAGATTTAAGTTCTTTACTTTTTTTGTCTCAGATCTTACCAGCATAACAATTATTTGTTATTTTCCATTTGTATGCATTAATCTAAAATTGTTTTTCAGATTTTTTTTCTTGTTTTATGATACTGGAATTTAAAAACAATCATAATTATGTCTTTTACAAATTAGCTCTCAGTTTGACTTTTATTTTTTTCCTAAACATTAGATTCAGGTTAATATACCGTACTAAGCTATGTTGTTGTACACTTAAACTTATACCAATGGGCAAGAGAGGCTAGGAAGGGTGAAAAAACAGTGGTTGTTTGGAGTAGGGGAAATAAAAAGAAGTGAAGTTACCCCAAAGTAAACCATTTAGACATTTTAATGTTTAAATGCACTAAGTTGATTTTGCACTTGAACTTGAAAATCAGTTACTCTTAAAAACAAGCAAAAATAAAAGATAAGAGAAAATGTATGTTTAAAATTACCATTTAAAATATGTTATTTTCTACACAGATCTGGAGAGCATCCACCATTCAAAACTTTTTTTAAGGCTTCCTTGACATCCTTGTTCCTAAGACTGTAGATGAGGGGGTTAAGCATGGGAATCACTGTGGTATAGAACACAGAGGCCACCTTCTCCTGAGTTCTGTCACTGGTAATTGGTTTAAAATACATGAAGATGATGGAGCCGTAGAAGATCCCAACAGCTGCAAGATGAGAGCTGCAGGTACTGAAGGCTTTTGACCTTCCTTCAGCTGAGCGTATACGCAAGATGCTGGAAAGGATGAAGGCATAAGAGATAAAGATGGYTAGAGCACATGCAAATACATTAAATGCAACCAAAACCATCACCAAAAGCTCCTTGGTGTAGTCTCTTGAGCAAGATATACTCAGAAGAGGGAGGATGTCACAGAAGTAATGGGGGATGACTTTAGTTCCACAGAAGGAGCGGCTAGATATGTAGCTGGTATGAACCAAGGCCCCAAAGGCCCCCATTGAATACACACTGGTGACCAGTAGCAAACAGACTCTGTGGGACATGGTGGCACTGTAGAGCAAGGGGTTACAGATGGCAACATAACGATCATATGCCATGGCGGTCAGCATGTAGGAGTCGTCAATGCCAAAGAAGCAGAATACAAAGAGCTGCACCATGCACTCGGGAAAGGACGTGAAATTCTTCTCTGACACAAAGTTCACCAACATCTTGGGGATTATGACAGAGGAGTAGCAGAGATCTATGAAGGACAAGTTACTGAGAAARTAATACATGGGGGTGTGAAGCTGAGAGCTGATCCTGATTAAAATAACCAAGCCTAAGTTTCCCAGCACTGAGACCACATAGATCAATAGAAACAGAAGGAAGAGAGGGAGCTGGACCCCCGGGATATCTGTTAGCCCCTCAAGGACAAATACAGTTGCTGAGGAATCATTTCCTGTGCCCATTCTTCTCCCTATTGTTATAGGTAGAGTGGTACAGGGGGATGTTCTCACTGGACACACATTGTCATCTGGCAACATTTAGCAGTTTGAGATCTGAGGAATGACATGAATTCCAACTACTCCAAATTTCATAATCTAAACCCAATAGGCTATAATCTATTCTTAATTTAATTCTTATTAAGATGGTGATACTTCATTTGACTKCAGCTTTTATTACTCCCATATAATATTTACAAGAAGAACTCATTTAATCTCTACAAATAGAGCTCTAGTTGTTCCTGTGAATGAAAAATAACTTCACAGAGCTGTTGTTCCATTTAGTTGGTTTTCTCTCTACAAAAATTCATGTTATCTGGGCCTGGGGTTGTGGCTCTATGGTAGTGGACTGGTCTGGCATGTGTGAGGCACTGGGTTYGATCCTCAGGACCACATAAAAAATTAAAAAAATAAAATAAATAAAGATATTGTGTCCATCTGCAAATAAACAATTTTTTTTTAAATTGTGTTCTCTTCTGATGTCTTGGAACTTGATGTCTTATTGATGCCCCTTGAGTTTCCCCTTTGACTTCAGCTTCTGTATCCAGCTCACTCTGTCCCCGCCGACTCTAATCTCAAAGGGCTTTGCTCTCCTCCAAGCTTCCCACTTCTCCTTTGGGTTCCTGGTTTTGAATTTGCTGTTCCTTCTTCCTACTCATGTTATGATACAGATGTGAGAGGAGTGAAGCAGKCTGGGGATAAGGGATGAAGGCAGTGCTAGAAGAGCGCTGTTATCATGTACTCAGAGACTGTGGAGAAAGAGAGCAGTAGCCAAGCAAGGGCCTGCAGTGATGGAGATCTCTCATGTGCCAGGCGAAGGTGAAGAACATGGTGTTCACTTCATTGCATCTTCAAAACAACCCAAGGTAGAGACAGAGCTGTTGTCTCCACTTCACAGATGTACTGAGTGAGAAACAGATTAAGTAAGCACTTGTTCTATGTCACAAAGCTTGAAAGTAATCTTATTTCATGATTTTACAGATGAGTTTATGTAAAATTTCTGAAGTCACCTGGTAAGCACAAGAGCCAGGATTTGCATCTAGTTAGTCTTATTTAAAAATCAATGTGCTCGGTAAAATATTTTTCCCACCTGAACCTTAATACTTGGTAACTTCTGCACAACTCCAGTTATTATGTTACTCACTACTATTAGTTCTAAATTAATTTCTTTTAATTTTTTTCCCTGAAGTTAGAAAATACCAGGGTAGTTTTATATACTTTTGAAGCATTGATAGCATTTTGTCCTCATGTAAAAATTAKATTGTTTTGTCCCTTCAATACCCTTAAGGTGGAAAAATCAGAAATGGAAGACATGTATGTGTGCACACACACATAGACACATGCACACACACATACACATGCTATCCTGCCCCTCAATTCCTACAATGTAGATGTATTATAAAATAATAACAACAAACTCTTTGGGGCATGGAAACTCTTTCTTTAGCTTTTCAATTATAAAAGTGATATAAAATAAAAACATGTCTGCTTTGAAAAGAGTCAATGGAATAAAAAGAAAATAGACCTCTGGTTACTAAAAATAGGATAAAACATGACTGAACATRCAAAGACTTGGTGGAGCATGAGTGACACTTTGGAGCAAGTACAAAGAAGGACTGTGAAAAATAATATTTGGGCAGTATGTGAGTGACCTTAATCTCTAACGTTTTTCAAAACAACTCCCTCTGGTCAAGCCAAGCTCAGCAGTGCTCCACAGATCTCCTTCTTTTCTCTCTGTTTTTTTGCTCTTATTCCTGTGCCTGCTCCCATTTATACTTCCAGGCAACCATTCACCTTTCTCAGCTATGTAAAAAGTCTTGCTCTCCAGGTGAGTTTTCTGAGTACATGAAGTTTCTTTTGCTATGATCTCTTTCTTTGCTCAAAGCTACTTTGTAACTATTTAGGAACACATATACTGTAGTTGTGTTTTTGTCATATGAAGTGGTAAAGAGCTCAGGTTTTAAAGTTGAATGAAACTGGATTCATTTTTAGGTAACTTTGGCTTTGTGACCTTGAAGAGGTTATTTTTCCTGTTTAAACTTCAGTTTTCCTCATCTGCAAAAGAAAAATAATTTCTATCATATTTAATTTTTAAAATGGTTCATTTGTTTATTTATCCAAGCTGCTGAGACTCTTCTGTGTCCAGAAGATACATATTAAATGACACAAGTTCCTCCTCTCATAAAGCCTATGTTCTAATAGAGAAGATCAATAAAAGCACAAACATAGAATTTAGAGTCAACTWGTGAGGAAATATTATAAATAAAATAGCAATGTAAAGAGCACAGTTGGTAATTAGAGAGAGCAGTCCGGTGAGGACTCTAAAGAGGTGATATTTGAGTTGCATTCCTGAATTCAGGATAGCGGTCTCCTTGTTTCAGTCAGGCTCAGAGAGCATGTGATTGGCATCTTTGAGGATCAGCCAGGAGACCAATGTGGTTGCAGCAGAGAGAACAAGGAGGAGAAGTATAATAGTGGAGCTTGGTCTTGGTGAAAAACTACAAATCTCATTCTAGGTGTGATGAGGTACTATTGGTGAATTTGCAGAAGTTAGAGTACTGTGTGCTGTAACTCATATTTCTCAAAGGCTCACACAGTCTTTGATTATTCTATTAAGATTATTCATTAAGAAGTCTCATAGGAATATATTCAGGAGTCACATAAACAAAATGTGCTCCATTTGTGAGAGGATTGCTTGAGTCAGAAATGGTGGAAATGTTAACCAAACATCTTTAACAAAGAAAACAAAGGCAGAGTAATCTGGTGGGGGTGGCACATGTTGAATATGGTGCTTGAGAAGAGTAGCAAGTTTTGGATCAACAATATGGGCTTAAGATGCCCAATAATGGTGTTAGACAAGCAGGTTTTGGAGGTATTTCTATGCCTGTTATAAAGCCAAATGCATATGTTAAATAGAAAATTTGATATATAGGTCTAGAGTTCAAGGGAGATGTGTATCTGGGACATAGTTTTTCTGAGTCATCAGTGCATATATGATATTTAAAACTATGAAACTAGAAGAGATCCCCCAGGGACGCTGTTTGCAGAGACCCTACACCAATGGTGGGTACTTGGCAAGTCATCAATAAATTTTTAGCATTGCTATTTTTACTGTTATTATCAGAAATTTTGCTGGATAGAAGGATGTTTATAGCCTCTTCTTTATTCTCTTTTCTATTCCTTTTTACTCCTTTACCTTCTTGAATAACTCCCCACTGCTGTAGTTCCAGAGTAGTAATCCAACTGAGCATCTGTCATAGTGGATTGGAATCCTCGAATACAGAATCTGGGACCTAGTGGAGATCCTGTGCCTATTTGTTCTCTRTTCTATCTTCTTTCAACTTCTACCTATACATTGACTTCTGCACACTTCCTAATTCTTAATTTCTTACAAAATTCAAAGGAAGTAACTCAACCCAAGATACCAAAATTATCATATTTTCTTTCAATTCTTTGTCTTTGCTTTGGTTATGTTCTTAACATTTTTATGTTTGTTTTTTAGACAGTTTTATATAACAATTGTTACAAATAAAGGAAAAGATTGAAWACAGTACCATGTTTCCACGTTGATGTACTTCTAACAAATATTAAAACATATTCCTKTGTAGAGTATGTGCCATTAACAAACATGATTTGACATTATTTTGCTGGACAAGTTATTTGATACAAAGATTCTTTGACTTTTCCTAATAGAATTAAGAGCCAACATCAAAGGATTTTTATCATTTGTGATGAAAAACATCTAACTTATTGAACACCCTGGCAGAGGTTTTTCATAAATAAGGGACAGAGGAACAGATAGAAAGATTATATGGAATAGAGCAAACAAAGACAATGTCAGGGATGCCAGTTTTTCACTTTTCAGGCTAGCTTTCCAGACACTTCTGAATTACTGTTGGGAAAACATAAAATGGGGAGAGCATAATTTTTTAACCCTGGATGTAGTGGTTAATGAGATGGACTAAAAGTCAGGAGCTTGAATTTTTATATATAGATTAACCAATTTTTTAGAGAAAGTGGATTAGTAGATTAATGTTAATATCCTTTTAGTAACAGATTTCTGATTTGGAGTAAGCATTATAATATTATGCTATTTAATGCATCTGAGAATGTAAATGTCAAAGTTCAATACAATAAGAGATATTACAGGAATAGACTTATAATAGGGAAGGAAACCAAGAGTTTGAGATCAGGACAGTGTCCAAGTAAGT